AAACTAGAACAGAAGTAAATTTGCTCCAACGTGCACATGACTTGTTTTAAATTCTTTGGAACATATGTAGTTTTCTCATAAAAAATGTTTGCGGTGTGCAATGAATGTAATATCCAGTAATTGAAAATCACAAAAAATGTAGCAAGTGTTAATTCGAAGGCACACCAAGGTATTCTCTTATCACTGGATTGACATGGAAACCTGAGGTCTCCATTTCACAGCAGAAATGTCTAGGTACTGATCAAATTATGAGTCGAAGAAAGTTTGTCTAGATTTTCCTTCAGTACACCCATGAAAACCCTTAAAATCAATTATGTAGATGGATGCGCTAGCCAACAAATTCATGTGATTGCAATATTTTAAAGTGGATGCCTCCAGTTGGTAGATTTTCTCACCTCATTTTACTGTCACCATTATCTTTTTTTTGTCTCAATCTTTAAACTCAGTTGCTTTTTCATAATGATATTTCAAGGATAAAGAGCCTTATGTATTTCATTTCAATAAAGAATTTGCAAGAAAGAGGGAAGAAGAACCACGAGGATCGTCCAGAGATGAGTTTACCTGTTCAATATCTCCTAAACTGAGATAGGTACTTCGAGAAAATCTGTAATAAACTTTAAAAAAGCCAATACTCTGGGCTCTCTAACGCGCCATAGATTTTTAAATTTGGCTTGATAGAACTCTAGAAAAATGGCTTTTTCTGAATCCACCTCCTCTCCGCACAAGTCCAAAATTTTACAGAGCCTCATTCGCAAATGAGCCACTATGTCTATCGCTAACTTTGAACCCGTGCGGAGAGGAGGTGGGTTCATCTTCCTATCCTATCCTATTCCTATCTTCGTTTAGGTAGTATTTAACAGGTAAACTTACTTTCTGGACAACTCTTACTATCCGCCATTAGAAACCATATACTTAGGTAATCGAAATTGAGAAGGGAACTTACAAAGTAGTTAGCTACTCACCTTTCATCTTCAGGATTTTTAATAACATCCATTTATTCAGAGTCAGGGCATGCATCTTCACAAAATGTGTATGTAGTTCCATGTCGAAGTATGTAACTTAAAACTGACTTTCTGGTAAAACGCTCAGCATAGTGAGCCATTATTTACCAAAAAAAAATCAGGTTCAAAGTGAATCAAAGTCATGTGGAGGGTGTGATTACGCAGAAAATGAGTGGATGAGAAATTGAGATTAAATCACTGATGTTATATCTCGCATTGAGACAAACTATCAAAGAATGGCACACACTAGCAATTCACAATATACCTGTTAATAATTATGGAACACTGAACAGTTTAATAAGTTTACGGTCCCAGAATAGAAAATTGTCGAAGGCTATTTATTCTTGGGTGGCTTCCTAAGAGTAAACAAGTGATACCTACATGTAATATATTGTGGATATTTCTTTAAAGAGAGCCATTAAGGGAAGGACGTTCGATTACTGATTCTATTTAGATTGCTGTAAATGAGAAGTAGGAAGTTTTCTTCAAAATATTTACTTCCCGAAACAAAGCACGAGGCTTCGCATCATGAAGCTTCGGCATGGTCAATAACAGTGTCAGGATTTGACCGGCCAATCTGTTGTTGTTTCTGAAGTTTAAACAAAAAATATTGCAAAAACATATGCACTCAACATTTTCAAGAAGAATTATTCCCAAATTCACTTCACTACCATGGAAACTCAGTATCTCAGTGTACTGAAATGACTAAGTAAACTAGCACAAATTTGGTCAATATTTTCGGATTTTCCAACGTTCCAAAGAGATTGCAGGTCGAGATATTCGTAAAGCAGGGTTAGATATTTTAGTTGAACGAATAACAGTTCAGAAAATATGCCAAAAACTAAAGAAATCTTTGTCAAAAGATGAAATTGATAACAGCCAGTTGGTTGTTTTGATTGGCCTCGATATTCGAACGCGTAGAGGTCCCGCTGACGGCGCCCGGTCGAATGTGTGGCAAGAAAGCCAGGGGGTAATTCCGGCGCCATATTGAATTGCCGCTAAAGCGCGGGCAAACGCGGCATTTTAAAATTTCGAACTTCAAAAGTCGATTTCGGAGGGAAAAACGGCTCGAAAAAATCTGAAAAAATTACTGCGTGATCAGGAGACAATGCAGTTTCTGAAAATGCAAGAATTAGAAACAGGTTAACAAGCTCATTGCAAAATGAGCTTCCCCGCATTCTTCAATTTGCAATAAGGAACTATAGCCTTTTTATGTAATTTTTGGCAACAGTGTGATGTTTTTGAAGAATCTGTCAATACAGGGTGTTAAAGGAACTCCATAGCTATAAAATGAACCATCAAACCGCAACATTAATCGTTTTGATGAAAAACGCCGATGGTTTTTGCAAAAGTTGCTCTCCTGAAAACCTACCGTTCTGCCTATAGTTCCGAATTGCAAAATGCTATCCATATGAAGTAAAGAACATTTTTTTCCGTTTTCACGAAATGAGGGTTATACCATTTGTCTAATGTTCTCGGAAAGTTTGCCGATCTTTAGTCGTTCTATGACATAGGCTATTTCAATTTTCGCCCTAGCGTGATTTCAGGATTTCATCGTCAAAAAAGGGGAAAGTTGGGGAGAGGAACCGACGCATAATTGCTAAGCAAGCGTTGTTAGGCACCTCCGTTTGCGATGGATATCGCCAAACATGCTATAATCGATAAATTCAATACTTAATGTATTTCGCAGTTTGAATTCTCGATTGTGACTAAATATTTTTCCCCTTTCTTTTCGGATTGAAGAAATTAAAGTTATGAGATCAGTTATTGAGTGGGATACATTTCATTGCAACGGGATGAACCGGAATAAAATGGGGGAACATGTTACACATTGGGATGAAACGCGATCAATTGGGATGTAAGGTGTGATACGAGGTAGATCGGGATAGATTATGGATACAACTAGGTAGATAAGAATATAATGGGATACATCTTTGTTTGACGGTATACATCTTAATTTACTGGGCTAAAGTGGGAGGAATTAAAATAAGACGATAATTATTTTAGAGATTAGTTAAATAAGTCTGGATACACTGAGATACATTTCATTGAAACGGAATAAAACGGGAGAAAAAGGAAAAAATAAGGATCTGTTGCGTGCGTTTGATGTGTTTTTTGGTGTTCGATGTGTTTTTCGTGTTCGATGTGTTTGTTGTATTGTTTTAATGTGTTTTTTGTGCTTGGTGTGTTTGTTGTGTTGTTTTAGATGTGTTTAATGTGTGTGTTGTCTTTGATGTGTTTGTCGTGTTTGTTGTTTTTGATAATCTTGTTGTATTTTAAGTTTTTTGTGTTCTTTGTGTTTGACGTATTTGTTGTGTTGTTGTTTTGGATGTGATTGATGTATTTGTTGTGTTTGTTGTTTTGGATGTTTGTTGTGTTCGATGTGTTTGTTATTTTTGATGTTTGTTGTGTATAATGTGTTTGTAGTGTTAGCTAGGTTTTTTGTTTTCGATATGTTTCTTGTCTTTGTTGTGTTTGATGTGTTTGTTGGGTTTGATGTGTTTGTAGTTTTTCGTGCGTTTAATTTTTTGTGTTTGGTGTGTTTGTTACGTTAGTTTTGGTTTGACTTGTAGATGTGTTTGTCGAGTTGGTTGTGTTTGATTTGTTTTGTATGTTTGATATCTTCGGTGTACTTGTTATATTAGTTGTGTTTGATTTGTTGATGTGTTTGTTCCGTTGGTTTCGTTTGATGTGTTAAATTGTTTCGAGTTGATAATGTGTTTCCTATGTTTACCTCTCCCTTCCTTTGAGTGACATAGGAATTTTTAATTTGTGCATTTTTTCCCTATTAAGTTCGACTACTATCGTGGGGAGGGGAGAGGGGTAACTATTTTTGAAAATAAATATGGGCTATCTTGGAAAATTTAAGCAATAATAAAAAAGACCATTTTCTTAGTCATTAAGAAAGTTTCTATAAATATATAAATTCACAGTAGAGGTATGTAATTAATAAATGCAGAATTTAAAAACATAGTTAACCCACCAATAAATATTTAAACGCGGTGAGAAAGCCCAGATTATGCTGTTTGAGCGATGCACGGAGTCAGTTGCTAGTTAAGAAATAAAACACGTTACTGATTGTAACATTATTAGAAAAACTTTTGTAAGTTCCAGAAATCGTCCATAGTTTGCAGGAGATTGGATACCCAGAGTCCAAAAGATTTCATTAGCAAGAATTTGCTGAAAAGTTTACAATAATTTTAGTTTTAAGATAGCAAAACACCTAATTAAATAAGTAGAGAGGACAACAAGAAAATAAGTGTTAACATTTGGTCATATAGCTGTCAAAATGTAATGATAGACGATACTTCTTCTACTCAAAATTAATGTAATTTTTTTTAGCAACTTATTACCGCCTTTACATTGTTATATAATTTTCTCTACGTTAATGAAGTCCCCTGGATTTGGGGTATCCAATCCGCTAGGAAGGAGGAACGAATTCTGGCACTTTCAAAACTTTTATGAAATTCTGTTACAGTTAAATTTGATTTCTTAAAGGCTTTCCTTCTTCGTGCATATTGTTAATAAATATTAATAAATATTGCATAAATATTGTTTGTATTTTTTATGCTTTTGGGCAAGATTTGGGAGTACAATTTTATATTACAGTTTTACCGTGGTTGTTACTAAAAGAAAGGTTCAGTGGAGGAAGTTCTTAAATCTTCCTTCCTGTTGCCGGAGAAGATTAAAATCTATCTGTCAATCCAAACCACTCACTTTCTCCAACTCATCGCTTCATCTGTTCTTTTCTGTTGAATCAGCTGCAATCATGAAGATTTTTATGGCACCTCAAAGTGTAAAATATTGCAGAAGCATAAAAATTCTATGCTGACAGTAAAAATGCCAACAAATAGTAAGTTTACATGTGTGTCATAGTTTAAAACATGTAATGGTGGATAACAGCATCATCCCTGTTAGCTCAAAGCGTTTTTGTTGCGGTTTGGATTGAATTTAAAATGAATGTGGGAAATGAGTGCAGTATTTGAGAGAAAAACTTACTTGAAGAGATTTTCAGCCCCAGCCCTCAGTCTTAACTCTTTATTGATTTCTTGATTAAGCTTTGATCTTTTGTTTTGTAGCTTTCCACGACACGTTGCTATCCTGGGATCAGATCCCTGGAAAAAAAAATTGAATCGTCACATATTTGGAACCGTTGCGGATTTAGTTACAGAGAAAACAAAATTAGTGATTGTGCAAGCAGGAAAGCTTCCCTCTTCTAAGAGAAAAAGAAAAAGAAGAAGAAAAGAAAATTTCTAAAACTGTAAGGGTCGAAACCTTGTGATCCTGAATTCTTAGGAACCATCGGGCCGATATCTTTGATTTTTGTTGCAAACGGAAGCTGTTGATGTCCGGATGATACCAAAAATCCGAGACTTTCAATAACCGCTCTTGAAAGTTTTCTTGGGGCTTTTCAGACTTTTATGCCCTACTATTTCCCATGAAAGTGACCTCTGTGTGTGTAAGTCACTCTACGAAAGCTACTCGCTAATTGGTTCACATCTCCTCATTTCTCAGGAAAGAGTTAAAGCGCTGAATAGGACGTCTGTATACACGTCTGTATTGGCTAACAGTCTATCACTATTCTACCCCTTCTGGTCTGTCCGTGGGTTTTCCCCGGTTTTCTTGTCGAGTGAGTCTGGGACGGACATATTTGGGTGGGAAGCATCCCCTCCCTCCTTCCAATCTTCCGATTGGATCTGTAACATCTGTCTGTACGAGAACAATGAAAATCCTATCCCTGATTTTAGGCTGATGCATTTTTCCTTGAGTGAGGCGGTGACCGATGCCAATAGGTCCCGAAGTGACCTCTTGGCTCGTTTCGCAAGGCTTAATCACTTGTGAAGCGAGTGATCGGGGGTTTTTAGCTTCAGAGATGAGCGTTGGGACCTTCCGCTTACTTGATGAAACTTGGACAAGGAAACCCGTTCGGGGTCGGGGGAGGGGGATTAGAATCCATGTATGCATACTTAATATTGAGGGAGGTTGATAGAAAATCGACCTTACCCTCTCTGGATTTCTTTAAGGTTTGGAATTATAAAATCGTATTACAACGTGCATGCCTCCCAGTCATCGTGGGGAGGGGGAGGGGCAAGTGAAAGTTAGTTAAAATACCGATGAAAGACTTTGCCTCCAAATTTAAAAAAAAAAAAAAAATAAGAAATTGACGCACGGTTGACACAAGCAGCTTTTTCATCACAACAGTCATGTTTCACACTAACTTTGAATAGAGCTAGGAAAATAACACGGCCGCATTTGGGACCACATTTTTTTTGATCCACTACTATTTGCATATTTGATGGATCCGATTTTACTTCGATACCACTTATTATGAACTTAGTCTGAGTACATTTAATATTTCATGATCGATTTTTCACTATCTACTCGTCACACTGTTACGGCACTTGATTTTAGATGACAAATTTTTAATCCATTTCAATTTTAATTTAATTTTCCACAAACATTTATGATCGTACCTATTATTTTTGTCATTTTTGCCCAAAATTTGTAATTCTTTTTTTAATTTTTATTTATCACAAAGTTTTTGCCCATTCATGCTATCTTCTCTCTGCCACTCTTCTTCTTTGTCCTATCATTTACTTTCTTTGTTTTCTTCTTGTCTCTCGCTCTCTTCAACATTTTTGAGAAAAAAAATTAAAAAATCCAAAAATTCTTCTTCTTTTTCTCACATGGAGGGAGGAGTGTTGTGTCCCTGCCTAACCTCATAATCCTATCCACTAATTTCTTATCTATTGCTATACCTATCCCTATCCGCATTCTTTCTCTGCATACGTCACATTACCGGACTCCACTAATAGCACTTCCTATCTAATCACCCTGCACACCGAGTCCGGCCTAATCACCCTCAACCCTCAACGCTTTCTCTTCATCATTCTTCAAGCACACAAGTCTGGTTTTTGGCAGAGTTCAGATGGAGTTCCATATTGTACCTCTTGGAAGCCGGGCCTCGGCCGGCCGGCTTCTCTTGTTTCATTATAGTTTGACATTACATTTATCTCGTGTTGTGCTTTCACGTCCATTACCTACGATACTGACGTTACAGTACGTTACACTGGCGCAGTCGTTTTTGATAGTCGACCTATGCACCCAAATCGGCATCTCATGGGCTTTACAAAAAAAAAAAAAAAAAAAAAAAAAAAAAAAAAAGCACGACAAGGTACCACCCATATTCCTCAAATCCCTACCCTCCACGAATCAAATTCCGTGACCATTACCTTCGTTACAATATTGAAACTCACACTCATGATATGATGTAGTTGTTATTCTCTGATTTATTTATATTCTTTTCTTTTTTTTTTTTTATCTTATGCCGCAATCACACGCTGAATTTAGCAGCTGAATGTGGAAGTCAACAGTCATCGCCCAACGGCTGAAATTTCGCAAATTCGAGTTATTTTCATCCAGATGTGTTTCAAATCTACTCGGATAGTTCAGACAAATCCAACATTAGTCTGATTTCAGCGTATGATTGCGGCATGAGTGATCCGCACTAGTTTACGCATCGAGCCGGTCGTGTCAGCGAGTCCGAAAAATGTTGTACCTCTGTCAATGGACGGAAGGAAAGGAGAGAAGAACAGATGAATCGTTTAAATGATTAAAATGCATGAAATTCTGGAGAAATCCCTTTCGGAGATGGACGCGGTATGGGCTCTCGCGATCTCCTTAATGAAAGGGTTTCTGCAAAGGCAAGAGTCACGCTTGTTGCATCCCGTATATATGAAGGAAAAAGTCCTCCTCACAATCAGTAGGTAAGAAGAAATCAGTTTCGTGCGGCTCGTATATGGAAAGGTCCAAGCGAGTCGTGGTTGTTGCGGAACTCGTAATTGAAGGGGAAAATTCATTAGTTATCCTCGACCGATTTAGTGATTTCAAGTTCATTCGAGGGATTTAGGTACTTGTGAACTACGAAATCGGTTTTTCGATTTATTTCATTTTCTTATTGTTAAGGAGTTAATTTTTTTCCTCTTCTTTTTTCAGCCCTGAAGTAAGTTTTTGGAGGCCATATTTGGTCTTTATGGAACCTGAGAATTTAAGAGAGGTTTTTGCCTATCTCATAGTTAGTTTTATCAACCTTCCTGGAGGGGTTCTGCGAAATCGAAATATTCCTTGTTTTTTCTATCCTGCATAGTTTTTCCTGGACAATTGTCTCTTCTGGAAAAGCTGGATTTTTAAGGAGAATTCCGATTTTTCCGGGTAAATTCGAACTGATCTGAAAAGACGGTGGTCACTTACTGAATCAGCGCTAAAAATCAACTTTGTGTCAGGTGGCAAATATAATAAAAAAAATTTTGTCCAGTGTAATTGTTATCTTAATCCAATTCCTCAAAGTTTCCTCGCTTTATCTCCACTTCATAGGACCATAGGTATACATGCCTACTAGAAGTTTTAAAATTCGATGATTCTGATCCATTTCATATTATAATATTCCTAAAATTTGAGGCTTTTTCTCGTGTTAAAGAAAGACAGAGCCTCTTTCGACAGACACAACTGTCAAGGAGATAAGCAAAATAAGCCTTAGATCTCTTTCGTGATGGTTGAATTTTGCCGCATTTCTTTTCAGTTCTGCAAGATATAAAGGGTTAATTTCTTCAATTATGCGGTAATTTAGTGCTCAACGATGCTCTTATAAACATATGGGTCAATTTTCAACGAAAAGTATCATACATCACCTTTGAGACAAATACCTATTTGGAAAATCAGGTGAAAGAGCAATGATACATTTGAAGTCGAACTTCAGGTTTTAGCTTAACTATTAAGCTTAACGAGCTGTATTTCCTGATTCTACATCTTATATTCGTCAAGATTAAGTTTAGTTCACTCCAAAATTCGAAATACAATTTCGGGGGAAGTTGGACCTTAAATTAAAACATTATTTGAAGACACCCAACTACCGATAAAAAAGAAATTAAAGTAAAACACCTGCCCGACCTCAAGGTAGAACTCATTGACGTCGGTGAATAAGAGATGAAAATGATAAAATATGGAGATGACAGGAAAAAAGAAAGAGAGAAAAAAAAAGATTACCTTCCTACCTAGGGGAGTGAGTGAGGCGTATGGTACCTAATGGTAATGAAGTATTTTCCATATTCAAGCGTTGTCCTAGAAACTGTTTAAATTTACACCTCATAAGTTTAAAGATATGGAGCACTTACGGTATGTGCAATTCGGCGCAACCATCCGTTAAAGGAACTCTATCAGATTTCCTTGGACAGATTCGTATACTTACATGCTGTAACTGCCGTATCTTCAACGACAAAGTACATGCCCGTAGGCTGGCTTTAAAATAAATGTTTTGAAATTTGAGGAAAGCAGTGGACCGGGGGGGGGGGGCGAAAAGCTGAGGAAGAAGAGAAACAGCATTAATTATATCTGAGCAGCCACAGTGGATAAGAGGGGTCGAGTATACGTATGGGAGGGGGAACAGGGTTGCCAGCCAACTTTGGAAAAAAATTCCCGACTTTTCCAGGTTTTCCAGGCCAAAGTGAAATTTTTCCCGGGCCTTTTTCCGCGGAAAAAACTCAAATGATTTTCCTTAAAAGGGACAGCGATTGTTGTAGAAACTCCTCCATTTTCATCAATTTTTGATCTGGTTTAGCTTTTTTTTTTATAAGAGCCAGGGTAGGATAGTATCATAACACGAATGAAATCACGTGCACATTGGAAAGCAAATGATTTTTCAATTTGTTTTATTTACTCATAGTAGTATTGGTTTTGAAAAATAAATCCCACCATGGTATTGCTGCTATGCTAAGGAAGATAGCACTGAACAGATTCTTTTAAGACATAATCTAACCTGCAGTCTTCGTTCTGCATACTATTAAGAACTAGTCTTAAAAAAACTGAGAAATGCATTTATGTATTTTTTTTACTTTCTCGCTCCCCTGGGGTAGAGAGGAAGTATTGTCATCCTCCAAGAAAAAAAAAGAAGTTGAAGTTTCATCATTTCTGGACGTTTTAAGGTCCCAGGAGTCAAAATAACCATACTTGAAAAAATGTTTGTCCGTCCGATGTCCCCCAAATCTGTGTACAGCGATATCTCAGAATCTATCTGTTCGATTTCATTCAAAATTGGCACAGAACACCATATTTATGGTCTCCTTATGCA